TTACCAAGGACGTTACGAGTCGTTTATTGTTATGTTTCGTGCTTTAATTAAATAAAGTAACATGTTCGTTCATCACGCTGCACATTGGTCTACTTCTCTCCCTGACGATCGTGACAGAAAAACCCACCAAAACTGGATCAAGCAGCGTGACGAGGAGAGAGGATGGACTTGGGAGGAGATGAGTGCGAGTCTGGCAAGAGGGATGGAGGCCTTGGCCACGGGTAGGAGTGAAGCCCATAAATCACTGGTCACCAGGGGGAAGGAGGTTGTAGAGGCACGGCGAGAGGTACTGGCGTGTGTTGCCAGTCCGGTCCGGCCTGTTCCTGATCCCCACGTAGGGCCAGTGGTGTGTGTTCCCAGTACGGTCCGGCCTGTTCCTGCCACTCGCACCAAGCCTACGGTGTGCGTCGCCAGCCCAGCCCGGCCTGTCCCTGCTCCACGCACCAAGCCTACGGTGTGCGTCGCCAGCCCAGCCCGGCCTGTCCCTGCTCCACGCACCAAGCCTACGGTGTGCGTCGCCAGCCCAGTCCGGCCTGTTCCTGCCACTCGCACCAAGTCTACGGTGCGCGTCGCCAGCCCGGCCCGGCCTGTTCCTGCCACTCGCACCAAGTCTACGGTGCGCGTCGCCAGCCCGGCCCGGCCTGTTCCTGCCACTCGCACCAAGCCAGGGGTGCGAGTCGTCAGCCTGGTCCAGCCCGTTCCTGCTACTCGCACCAAGCCAGGGGTGCGCATCGTCAGCCCGGTCCGGCCCGTTGCTGATCCACGCACCAAGCCAGGGGTGCGCATCGTCAGCCAGGTCCGGTCCTTTCCTGCCTCACGCACCAAGCCAGGGGTGCGCGTCGTCTGTCCGGCACAACCCGTGCCTGGGTCACCGGTGCCTAACCAGGTACCGGTCAACGGCTCCACTAAGGAGTTGAAGCTAACCGTTCCTGCTACGTCCAGTCCAGCTCCAGTCAGCGGGGCCAGACCAGACCAGGGGCGCTATGGGGGGTTTGTGGGCAAGCCCGGAGCCAGAACCGCCGCCGAGGAGGAATGCCCACCCAGCCCTCCCCTGTTTTGCTCGTATTGAGGCGCGGTCGCAGTCCGCGCCTTTAGGGGGGGGGGGGTACTGTCACACCCTGGCTCTGGGACTCTATTTGTTGAGCCAGGGTGTGTTCATTCTATGTGTTTATTTTCTATGTTGGGGGTTCTAGTTTGTTGTTTTCTATGTTTGCCTGAGTGACTCCCAATCAGAGGCAACGAGTGTCAGCTGTTGGCTGGTTGTCTCTGATTGGGAGCCATATTTAAACTGTCTGTTTTTCACTTTGTGTTTGTGGGTTTTTGTTCCGTGTTGGTCTTTGTTACCAAGGACGTTACGAGTCGTTTATTGTTTTGTTTCTTGCTTTAATTAAATAAAGTAACATGTTCGTTCATCACGCTGCACATTGGTCTACTTCTCTCCCTGACGATCGTGACAAGCAGAGCCTGGACCTGCTCGAGCAGTTCTGCCAGACCTGGGCCATGGCAGTAAACCCCAAAAAGACAAAAATAATGATTTTCCAGAGAAGATCTCAGGGAATTCGACCAAAGTTCTCTATTGGTACTGCACACACTACAATTACTTAGGTTTAAAAATAGAATCAACTGGACACCTAAATGAGGCAGTGCATGATGAGGTGATGTCGAAGGAGTTAGGCGCAGGAGGGTAAATCACAGAATAACATGCTTTATTCCGCAAATACAGTGTTACGCAGAAATGCTTCAAACACTAGTGCACAAAACAGGCGCACTGGAAAATACAAGGCACACAGGGAAATATCCCGGCGATACAAAATACACAGAGCTCCACCGAGCTTAGCTATCCTCCACAATAAGCAATCACACACAAAGACAACGGGGCAGAGGGAACACTTATACAGGTACTGATGAGGGGATATGAACCAGGTGTGTTTAACAAACAAAACAAAACAAATGGAATGATGAGATGAGGAGCGGCAGTGGCTAGAAGCCTGCCCGAACAAGGAGAGGTGGCAGCTTCGGAGGAAGTCGTGACACAGTGAGTGAACTGAGAGAGAAAGCACGCAGGGCATTCTACGCCATTAAAAAAGAAATTCAAATTGAAATACCTATAAAAATGTGGCTAAAACTAATTGAACGTGTCATTGAACCAATTGCACTTTATGGCAGCGAGGTGTGGGGTCCACTTGCAAATCAAGATTTCACCCAATGGGACAAACACCCCATTGAAACCCTGCATGCAGAGTTCTGTAAGATTCTCCTAAATGTCCAGAGGAAAACTACAAACAATGCATGCAGGGCAGAATTAGGCCAATATCCACTAATAATAAAAACTCAAAAAAAGAGCAATTAAGTTTTGGAAACATTGAAAATGCAGTGACCCCCTCTCATATCAATACCAAGCCCTGCAATGCCAAGAGCTGAGCAAAGAAAAAAGCCTCAGGATCAGAACATCCAATCAATCAGAATAAACCAAATTACAACACAGTCAAAACAAAACTACATTACTTATTGGGAAACACACAAGCACAAAGCAAAATACAGTGTTATCTGGCCCTAAATCGACAGTACACCGTGGCAAACTATTTGACCATGGTTACTGATCAAAACCTTGACAAAGTACACGCTCAGTGAGCACAGCCTTGCCATTGAGAAACGTAGACACAGGAAAACATGGCTCCCTGTAGAGGAAAGGCTGTGCAACTACTGCACCACAGCAGAACCCGAGACAGAGCTGCATTTCCTTACAAAATGTAAAAAATAAAAAACAGTGAGTATAATTTCCCCAAATTTGAAACCCTTATTCAAGATGTCAAAGATCTCTCTGGTGAGAATAGTCTACCCGTCCTGTTGACGGAGGACGCAGAGAGCTGTGGGTTGGCAGCGCACCACATTGCTGCCTGCCATAAAATGATGGACAGTGTCTGACAGACCAATCAACCAGTCCTCTGTGCCATTGTTATTGTCAATATTGATTATTATTTTAATTGGGCTAATATTGTAAATTGCCAAAGTAAGCTTTGGCAAAATGTACATTGTTACATCATGCCAATGAAGCACATTTAATTGGGGAGGGAGGGAGAGGGGGAGAGAGAGTCAACAACTACCTCACACCATGACCCTCCCTCCACTTACAGACAACACTGAACAGATGTATTCAACAGCCTGAATTCTCAGTCGGTTAGTCATATAATTGCAGAGACAATCAGATAATAACGATAGCACTAATGCTACATACCCAGAGAGTTGCCCCCAGGACAACAGAGCAGTGATAGTCTGGAGCTGTAGAAGGCTATGCTCAGGAGACAGCTGATAACTGATGTTGTTATTACCTGCAACATCATCTCAGATGGAGAGAGAGACTCCTTTCAGTCCTCAAGAGCTCACTGTGGAGACAGGAGACACACACATACACGTAGGACTCTACACACACACAGAGTGAAACACACACACAGCTCGGAGACAGTGGTGGGGCCAGAATCATGTGCTGTGTGAGTCAGTATGGAGAAGTGAACGCTGGTTCCTCTGGGTATTAATATACAGCCCACACTGACAGTCATAGGATTTACTTGCACATTTTCACATTTTAGTCTATGCCAGGGATGGCCAACCTCTCTCCCTGGGAGAGTTACTGGGTTGGCAGGATTTAGTTCCAAGCACAACCCTGCTCTTACACCTAATTCTAATCAGCTGCTCATCCTGATCCCACATATACATATTACCTCAACTAACCTGTGCCCCCGCACATTGACTTTGTACCGGTACCCCCTGTATATAGCCTCCCTACTGTTATTTTATCTTACTGCTGCTTTTTACTTATCCATTTTTTTACTTAACACTTATTTTTCTTAAAACTGTATTGTTGGTTATGGGCTTGTAAGTAAGCATTTCACTGTAAGGTCTACACCTGTTGTATTCAGCACATGTGGCAAATACAATTTGATTTGATTTGAATCAGGTGTGTTAAAGCAGGATTGGAGAAAAACTTGCACACCCCGTCGCTCTCCAGGAGGAAGATTTACTTTTTTAAGATCATTAAATTATACTACAGAGGATGAAAGTATCAGAAACAAACATTCAATACTGATTAGGCTAAACTTGAGACATTTTATCCTACATTAGCATAGCTGGCTATGTATTCCAATACTATAATCACATCATGACACATCCAATTGTCTAATCCCCTCTGATCCTGAAAACTCAACCAGACCAGCTCACCAATTAATACAGATATAATTAACATTACATGATTTGATTGGCTAATGGACAAGGACCAGCTGGAATGGAATGCCAGGAACACTAAGGGAGTGTATGTGTATGCAAGAGAGAGAGACAGAGAGAGGAGAGGGATAGACAGTACGTGTAAGCGAGAGAAAAAAAGAGAGCATGAGAGAAACAGAAAAAGAGAGAGGGAGAGAGACCTATACAACCAATAGAAAGGGAAATGTCCTGTCAGAGGCAGGATGGATGTTATGGAGAGTTAGAGGTCTTCTGGCCTCCTCAACCTGTACAGACTGCTTTCTCCCATCGTAAACACTCTGTATATAGTGCAGGCCATACAGAGCACATTCAATAAAATAAAGTGATATAAATGGCTAAACCGCTCAGATACATACATTCCCCGACCATACCAGGCTCAGATGACTACTGAATCATCATCCTCTGTAATCTAGTAGTAATACTATATGTCCCTGTGGGATATTGAGGAAATCAGTGATAGTAATGGCAGATGACTGGATGTGGTTCTGCTATAGAGTAGGTCAGAGAGATAACGACATGCTTTTAGCCAATGCTAACACGTGTTACGAAGGATGTTTTACACGTTGAACCCCTCTCACCTAATAAGTAACATTGCCTGAGACCTGAAATCTTGTGTTAGCTCCCTGAGCTAATGCCTTTTTAGCTCAATGGGCATGCAATTATACAAATGACATAGCGGTTATAAGCTAACACTAGTCACTTACCTATGGTTTACACCACCAATAACATAAAGGCAAGCATCATCATTTTATCATATTGCACTTTTATTTAAAACAACAATGACACCTAGGTTAAAAATAAATGTTATATTGGGAAGTATTTAAAAAACTGAGGTAACAATTCAAGTGAACAGTAATCTCCAATGAAACAGTTTTAAAATACATCAGTGCATTCAAATGTGAAGCAGAGAATGAACTCCACAGGAAATACTAGTTAAATAGTGGGATCCTTCACAGGACAGACAAAATCAGTCAGTTATTCATAAACGAGCTACATCAATGTAGAAGTACTGTCGGCTTTAAAATAGCTCAGAGCATCACATAAAACTAGCTCCGCATGCATACATAGGAAATGCTTACCAGGACAGACAGGGGTTAAGTCAGTGCGTTATGTGAGGAGTTTGACATGTTGGTTTGTTCGCTGGCAAGATTTCCGCATTCAGTCTACTATAGTCTATATATTAAAAGTATAATTTTTCAATACCTATGTTCAAGTATAATGTTTAACAGACATGTTGGCGACCACACTCCCAAAGACAATCTAAGTAACATGTTATCTCTAATGTTAAGATATCTTAGAACTCATTCTGGTCTACACACCACTTGTTATATGTTTAATAGTGGTATTAGCTTCCCGAGGTAATGCCTAGGCTTTAGTTCACCAGGCTAGAAGATCCAGTTGGTTTTAAGAATGGAAAAGTGACAAAATATACATTGTTCTTCATTTCACCATAGGTTTTAGAGTCCATATTATCTAAATGTCTATGGAGATCTTGTCCCCTGTGTATCCATAATCTAACCGTCTCCTCCCCTCCAATAGGAAGGTAAGTACAGTTTTCCAGCGTTGTCCCAGTGACTGTTGTCGAGTCTCGCAGGTAGGTTTGAAGTAGGTCGTAGTCCCCATGGCGATAGCGTCAAACTGTTCCGTCAACAACCACACCTCCCAAAGGATTGTCAGAACGTTCATTATCGTCAAGGCGACCACCCAGAACTGTGCAGCTACTGCTCTAACCAACGACTGGTCCTCGAGGGACACCACGACCACATACAGGTGGTAAGTTGCTGTGGCAACAAAAAGGAGGTGTGCTGCGGCCATGGAGAGGATGAAGATGATGAAGAGGCGGTGGTTGCCCCCGCCAACGCAGCGGTTCAGAAACAGGCAGTGGTGGTCGTAATCCCTCACACACACATCACACAATTTACAGTGTTTAGTATGGTCTGGCTGGAACAACTAGATGGCGAGAGAGAGGGAATAGCAGTGATAAGTGACATTGTTGGCAATTCCCAAAAAATGTAGGAAATTCAAATAAGCAGGCCTACCCTAAATTTGACATATGCACAATAGTTACTGCTATTGATGTGCATATACTGTAAAATGTTTGTTGAGTCAACTTTAAAAAATCAAGGCAACCAGCTGCAACACGATTTCTAGTTTACTTTGGGGCAGGAAAGGTCTGCTTACATACATTTGCCAAAGTTGAGTCAACTAGAAATGGCAGAATGCCATAAACCTATCTTTGTGAAAGAAAACTGCTGAATGGATCGAGGCGCTGTTTGATGAGCATTTAGGGAATGTAGTTCTCCATGGATGTGCACAGTTTCGTTTCTGAATATTGAGGATTGACGGAGAAAAGACGAGTCAATTTAACATGCATTGTCCAATCAACACTTACTATAGTGGGGACTATCGTCGCCACTACAATACCATGACAAAAGGAGGGCAGGATAAACTAGCCACAACTCAATCCTCAGCTGCAACACTAACTTAAACTTGCTCTCCTCATCTTACAGTAGATACAGAACCTCTGTGTCTGTTTCAACTCATAATAAAGATTGATTGATTGATTGGTTCTCCTCACCTCACAGTAGATGCAGAACCTCTGAGGATTCTGGTTGTTCTCCAGCAGGTCTGTTATGGAGGAGTAGCGAGGATCTGCGTCTCCCGGTCCCAGCTCTCCAGGATCCTGGGTTAGAACCATCCAGAACAAGACCAGAACCACAGAGAACTGGACCAGTGACACATGACCCAGAACACCATCCCCCCACAAGCGTCACAGTGGGTTAAGGCTCAACCAACAATATACTACTTGTAGGCTACATACATACTGTATGATGTATGATGGATAATCAGTGTAAAGTATATTCATTATTGTTCAGCTACAGAATAATCGACCACAACCTCCAGTAACTACGGTCACTAGCAAGGTTTGCAATTTGATGTGGTTAAAGCCACAGTCTTCATCAGGCATTCAATGTAGGTCAAAAGTATATACTTTATTGTAATAGAATTAGGCAGTACACTATATTAGGTAATATACTATCGCTGTAATATAAAGGATATTAGGCGGCAGTATTCTGTAGTAGAAGCAGACTAGAGAGTGGAACAATCCAGCTATCACAGTCCCTAGGTAGACGGGGTTGGCCAACCTGCAACACAACACAGGACAGGTAATGGAACAAAGAACAATACAATGGATGAATTTACTGTACAGTGCAGATACACACAAACACACATAGTTAGCACACACACACACACTGTGTCTATACCTCTGGTAGGTGGTCATGCGGTGGAACTGGGAAAAGATACTCCTGGCCAGCCAGGGGAACAGCACGGCGCACGTTATCCCTCCGTAGCCCCCCAACATTGTTGCAATAATCAGAATGGCTCCTCCAATCAGACACGGGAAGAATAACGTCCAGTAGTAAAGGACTGGACGCACGCACGCGCAAACACACACACCCAGAAAGAGACCCACGCATGCACGCATACACACAATTATACACAGAAACACAATTCAATGTCACACAATGTTCATTACAGTTAAACTTATCACAGCTTCAGCACTTACGGTTGGACTCGTCGGGTTTGTTGAATGGTGGCTCCCTCATGTAGCGGGTCAGTAGTTTTGTCAGCTGCAGGTGTCTGTGGAAATACAACCCCAACACAATAGAGATGGTTAAAACGTTAAAGTGATATTCCAGGTGACGGTATGGCAATAAGACAGGTAGATGGACAGAAGATGTTGACAGTGTTATATATTCCTGGGTTGTATTCATTAGTTTACACAATGGAAAACGTTTAAAAATGTTTCGCAACTGAAAATAAAAATCACATTTTGGTCAGTTTTCTTCCGTTTGTTGCCTAATGAACACAACCAATGTGAAGGTAAAGGTTATAGATATTGGGACCCACCTGAATGTCTTTCCCTGCCTGCAGAGGTCCAGAGGTGTGTGTCCGCTATAGGTCTTCAAGTGTAGTATCCTGAAGCCAGATCTCTGTAGCAGCGTCCAACACACCTCTACACAGCCCCTCTCTGCTGCCACATGGACCGCTGTCAACCCATCCTCATCCACAGTCTCCACCATACACCTCTGACACACACAAACAAAAAATATTTTCAACAGTGCAGCAACAATCATAAAAAGCTGAAGGATACTGCTGCCGAGGGCTCCATCGGGCTCCAGATCTATTAGCAAGGAGCATGTCACAGAGATTCAGCACCATTCTTGTGGACAGCGACGTCCACTAGAAAGTCAGCACCACATAACAGAGGACAGTGACCATCTCAGGTGCAGTCAGTCGTCACCATGTCTATGGGAAGATCTCAATTGCATACTCCATGCGTCCTCTCTCCTCGTCTCCTTCTCAAAACCCATTGGATGAGAAAGCCAGAGGTCCCTCCCCTCTGACATCCTCCAATGGGTTTTGAGAAGGAGGCGAGGAGAGAGGACACGAGAAGTATGCAATTGAGATTCTCCCTATGTCCCAATTATCTCTCCTGTCTCCCAAAGTGTGCACTTGTTCACCTCCCTTCACTGATTTGAAAGAAAATGACTGGTATAATAAATATGGTGGAACCCCCCACTTGCCAATGCCTCCACCAATCCAATGCTTTTAGGAGAAAGGAGATAATATTGGAACACACCCCACAACATTACATGCACTGTTTGTAAGAAATAATGTAACTTGAGGAACGGAACTCTAAAGGAAACTCCATAGCAAAACTCCCCAATAGAAGTGAAACATGGAAGTCATCATTGGATTTACTTACCAAGCGTGTACGTCTTACCTTGTCTCGGAGCAGGTAACGGACCACCTCAGTGTTGCCAGTATCAGCAGCCAGGTGTAGAGGTGTAACATGGTACATGTCTCCATCACACCACCTAAACATTCCTGTCTCCCACAGGTACTGCATTGCTACACTGGGAGACACAACTCGGGTTAGAGTGTGTGTGTGTGTACATGCGTGTGTATAATAAAAAGCATGCGCTTGAGCACACCCAGAGAAAATTATTTTGTGTAGAGGTGCTGACTTGGCGAATTAACTTTAAGCTATAAAAATAAATTAGAGTCACACTATGTATAAAAACTCCCAGTAATTTGTTTTACCCAATAAATTACTGGGAGTTTATATATATATATATATATATATATATATATACACACACACTACTAGTCAAAAGTTTGGACACACCTACTCATTCAAGGGCTTTTCTTAATTTGACTATTTTCTACATTGTAGAATAATAGTGAAGACATCAGAACTATGAAATAACACATATGAAATCATGTAGTAAACAAAAAAAAGTGTTAAACAAATCAAAATATATTTGAGATTTGAGATTCTTCAAATGCCACCCTTTCCCTTGATGATAGCTTTGCACACTCTTGGCATTCTCTCAATCAGTAGGTGTGTCCAACAGTGAAGAGGCGACTCCGGGATGCTGACCTTCTAGGCAGAGTTACAAAGAAAAAGCCATATCTCAGACTAGCCAATAAAAATAAAAGATTAAGAAGGGCAGTCTGAGATATGGCTTTTTCTTTGCAAGTCTGCCTAGAAGGTCAGCATCCCGGAGTCGCCTCTTCACTGTTGATGTTGAGACTGTTGTTTTGCGGGTACTATTTAATGAAGCTGCCAGTTGAGGACCTGTGAGGCGCCGGTTGCTCAAACTAGACACTCTAATGTATTTGTCTTCTTGCTCAGTTGTGCACCGGGGCCTCCCACTCCTCTTTCTATTCTGGTTAGAGCAAGTTTGCTCTGTTCTGTGAAGGGAGTAGTACACAGCGTTGTACGAGATCTTCAGTTTCTTGGCAATTTCTCTGCATGGAATAGCCTTCATTTCTCAGAACAAGAATGGACTGACGAGTTTCAGATTAAAGTAATTTGTTTCTGGCCATTTTGAGCCTGTAATCGAACCCACAATTGCTGATGCTCCAGATACTCAACTAGTCTCAAGAAGGCCAGTTTTATTGCTTCATTAATCAGCACAACAGTTTTCAGCTGTGCTAACATAATTGCAAAAGGGTTTTCTAATGATCAATTAGCCTTTTAAAATGATAAACGTGGATAAGCAAACACAACGTGCCATTGGAACACAGGACTGATGGTTGCTGATAATGGGCCTCTGTACGCCTATGTAGATATTCCATTACAAATCAGCTGGTTCCAGCTCCAATAGCCATGTACAACATTAACAATGTCTACACTGTATTTCTGATCAATTTGATGTTATTTTACTGGACAAAACAATTGCTTTTCTTTTGAAAACAAGGACATTTCTAAGTGACCCCAAACTTTTAAACATACAGTTGAAGTCGGAAGTTTACACTTAGGTTGGAGTAATTAAAACTTGTTTTTCAACCACTCCACAAATGTCTTGTTAACAAACTATAGTTTTGGCAAGTCGGTTAGGACATGTACTTTGTGCATGACACAAGTAATTTGTCCAACAATTGTTTACAGACAGATTATATCACTTATAATTCACTGTATCACAATTTCAGTGGGTCAAAAGTTTACATACACTAAGTTGACGGTGCCTTTAAACAGCTTGGAAAATTCCAGAAAATGATTTCATGGCTTTAGAAGCTTCTGATAGGCTAATTGACATAATTTTAGTCAATTGGAGGTGTATCTTTGTATGTATTTCAAGGCCTACCTTCAAACTCAGTGCCTCTTTGCTTGACATCATGGGAAAAATCAAAAGAAAATCAGCCAAGACCTCAGAAGAAGAATTGTAGACCTCCACATGTCTGGTTCATCCTTGGGAGCAATTTCCAAACGCCTGATGGTACCACATTCATCTGTACAAACAATAGTACACAAGTATAAACACCATGCGACCACGCAGCCATCATACCGCTCAGGAAGGAGACGCATTCTGTCTCCTAGAGATGAACGTATTTTTGTGCGAAAAGTGCAAATCAATCCCAGAACAACAGCAAAGGACCTTGTGAAGATGCTGGAGGAAACAGGTACAAAAGTATCTATATCCACAGTAAAACTAGTCCGATATCGACATAACCTGAAAGGCTGCTCAGCAAGGAAGAAGCCACTGCTCTAAAACTGCCATAAAAAAGCCAGACTACGGTTTGCAACCCGCACATGGGGACAAAGATCGTACTTTTTGTAGAAATGTCCACTGGTCTGATGAAACAAAAATAGAACTGTTTGGCCATAATGACCAACGTTATGTTTGGAGGAAAAAGGGGGATGCTTGCAAGCCGAAGAATACCATCCCAACCGTGAAGCACGGGGGTGGCAGCATCATGCTGTGGGGGTGCTGTGCTGCAGGAGGGACTGGTGAACTTCACAAAACAGATGGCATCATGAGGAAGGAAAATTATGTGGATATATTGAAGCAACATCTCAAGACATCAGTCAGGAAGTTAAAGCTTAGTCGCAAATGGGTCTTCCAAATGGACAATGACCCCAAGCATACTTCCAAAGTTGTGGCAAAATGGCTTAAGGACAATAAAGTCAAGGTATTGGAGTGGCCATCACAAAGCCCTGACCTCAATCCTATAGAAAATATGTGGGCAGAACTGAAAAAGCATGCAGGGAGGCCTACAAACCTGACTCAGTTACACCAGCTCTGTCAGGAGGAATGGGCCAAAATTCACCCAACTTACTGTGGGAAGCTTGTGGAAGGCTACCCAAAACATCTGACCCAAGTAAAACAATTTAAAGGAAATGCCATCAAATACTAATTGTGTGTATGTAAACTTCTGACCCACTGGGAATGTGATGAAATAAATAAAAGCTGAAATAAATCATTCTCTCTACCATTATTCTGACATTTCACATTCTTAAAATAAAGGTGATCCTAACTGACCTAAGACAAGGTATTTTTACTAGGATTAAATGTCAGGAATTGTGAAAAACTGAGTTGAAATGTATATGGCTAAAGGGTATGTAGACTTCCGACTTCAACTGTATATATATATATATATATATATACACACACACACACACACACACACACACAGTGGGGAGAACAAGTATTTGATACACTGCCGATTTTGCAGGTTTTCCTACTTACAAAGCATGTAGAGGTCTGTAATTTTTATCATAGGTACACTTCAACTGTGAGAGACGGAATCTAAAACAAAAATCCAGAAAATCACATTGTATGATTTTTAAGTAATTAATTTGCATTTTATTGCGTGACATAAGTATTTGATACATCAGAAAAGCAGAACTTAATATTTGGTATAAAAAAACCTTTGTTTGCAATTACAGAGATCATACGTTTCCTGTAGGTCTTGACCAGGTTTGCACACACTGCAGCAGGAATTTTGGCCCACTCCTCCATACAGACCTTCTCCAGATCCTTCAGGTTTCGGGGCTGTCGCTGGGCAATAAGGACTTTCAGCTTCCTCCAAAGATTTTCTATTGGGTTCAGGACTGGAAAACCCAGCCACGACCCATCTTCAATGCTCTTACTGAGGGAAGGAGGTTGTTGGCCAAGATCTCGCGATACATGGCCCCATCCATCCTCCCCTCAATACGGTGCAGTCGTCCTGTCCCCTTTGCAGAAAAGCATCCCCAAAGAATTATGTTTCCACCTCCATGCTTCACGGTTGGGATGGTGTTCTTGGGGTTGTACTCATCCTTCTCCTTCCTCCAAACACGGCAAGTGGAGTTTAGACCAAAAAGCTCTATTTTTGTCTCATCAGACCACCTGACCTTCTCCCATTCCTCCTCTGGATCATCCAGATGGTCATTGGCAAACTTCAGACGGGCCTGGACATGCGCTGGCTTGAGCAGGGGGACCTTGCGTGCGCTGCAGGATTTTAATCCATGACGGCGTAGTGTGATACTAATGGTTTTCTTTGAGACTGTGGTCCCAGCTCTCTTCAGGTCATTGACCAGGTCCTGCCGTGTAGTTCTGGGCTGATCCCTAACCTTCCTCATGATCATTGATGCCCCACAAGGTGAGATCTTGCATGGAGCCCCAGACTGAGGGTGATTGACCGTCATCTTGAACTTCTTCCATTTTCTAATAATTGCGCCAACAGTTGTTGCCTTCTCACCAAGCTGCTTGCCTATTGTCCTGTAGCCCATCCCAGCCTTGTGCAGGTCTACAATTTTATCCCTGATGTCCTTACACAGCTCTCTGGTCTTGGCCATTGTGGAGAGGTTGGAGTCTGTTTGATTGAGTGTGTGGAAAGATGTGAGTGGAGAACAGGAGGGCTTCTTAAAGAAAAACTACAGGTCTGTGAGAGCCTGAATTCTTACTGGTTGGTAGGTGATCAAATACTTATGTCATGCAATAAAATGCAAATTAATTACTTAAAAATCATACAATGTGATTTTCTGGATTTTTGTTTTAGATTCCGTCTCTCACAGTTGAAGTGTACCTATGATAAAAATTACAGACCTCTACATGCTTTGTAAGTAGGAAAACCTGCAAAATCGGCAGTGTTTTAAATACTTGTTCTCCCCACTGTATATATAGAGAGTGAAAGAGAGTGCAACTCTATATTTATTTTATAGCTTACAGCGTATGCGTGTGTATGACATCATATCTCATCATAGTTTATGACATCATATGTCACTGATGCACTACATGTCATATATATAGTATACTGAACAACTACAGTGCATTTGGAAAGTATTCAGATCCCTTGACTTTTTCCACATTTTGTTACGTTACAGCCTTATTCTAAAATGGATGAAATCGTTATTTTCTCCCTCATCAATCTACACACAATACCCCATAATGGCAAAGCAAAAATTCGGTTCGGTCTTATGTAGCAAAATTTGAAAAGTTTTTTTTTTATTTTTTACATTGGATAAAAGTAGAGACTCAGAGCTAGAAAATGGTATATCATACACTACAGTTGAGGAACAATAGGAAAGTTTATAAACTTGTAACCTCACTTTTGAGAAAATGGCCTTTGAATGTTTTGGTACACCTACTGGAGAGCTCTTCTTTGTCTACACCCATTCAGCATCGTTCACACCCTCTTAAGCTTTAGCCCCACCCGTAAACTCAGAGCGTTGTCAGATTGTCAGTTCATAAATTCAGAGCGTTTCGCTCTCAGAGCGTTCAGAGCACCCACTGGACGCTCTGGCCGAGGAGTAGGGTTGACCCGAGTGTTCTGTCCTAACAACAGCAGTCAAGCACCCAAGCTAACTGGCTAATGTTGGCTAGCTACTTTCAGACACAAATGAGAGAACAGCTCACTCTGACCATTTTACTCGCCCTAGCAGAGCTGGTTAGGCTGTTTTTATGTTATACAGAGCGTTGGTGACTGCAACTGTGCTGCTGGCAACAATTTAATTACGCTTTTTGCCAACGTTTACTGACACCGTTCGTAAATTCGTCAGTTATTCTGTGCTCTGGCACACTTAGACGTGAGTGCTCTGAAATCGGAATAGATAGCCAGTGCGAATTTACCAGCTACGTCTGTCAACAGTTGTCAAAGTGACATCATGAACATTCTTTGAAATGGTTACTTGCATAGTGGAGTCTTTTGTTAAGACATGTACCTAGCTAGCTAAAATAATGAACCATAATCCCAACTCATGACGTTACTACCCTGCATGAATCTGCAGGTAGCTAACCAACCAGGTTCAATGTTAGCTAGCTAACATTAGGCTATAACTAGCAAAGCAAATGGCTCTGAGATACGAATAATATTGAAAATGTAGCTAGCTAGACTATCTTACCCGTATACATGGATGGACGCTTCTCCCTCTCTGTCATGAATGCCATGGTTGCCCTTAGTTTTAAGATGTAATCTGGAAACTGGTGTTTTCTCCATCTCCTAAACTAATTCCACTGATTTCAAAACTCGGTCCTCCAGAAAGTGAAGAGCAACACTTATGCAGTTCTACTACGTGAAATCTTTCAAAAAAAGCTGTATTAGAAAGGATTACTTACACATACTGACAAGCTCAAATAGACAGAAGAGCGCTACATGGCAGACCAATCCGAACTCATCTCTCGGCATGTCCAGCCCACTCATTATCTAAGCCAATCATGGCTAGCGGGAAGGTTGCTGTCTTTTTCTGTAGCTAAACCAACTAGGCTCGTAATTTAACAATTTTATTCGAATTTACAGATGGCATACAAGTTTGTTATTAAGGCATATTAAAGTTCACATGTTCCAGAAGGCATGTCTGCCAAAAAACGCATTTTGATTTAAAAATAAGTTTACGTTCAAATGGCTCTCCTGTGAAGGAGTGACGCACGACATACGCCTAGTTTCCTGAAACGAGTCACAAACAGGTTTTTAGAAAAGTTTGCAAATTTATAAACAATAAAAAAACTGAAATATTATATTTAAATAAGTATTCAGACCCTTTACTCAGTACTTTGTTGAAGCACCTTTGGCAGTGATTACAGCCTCGAGTCTTCTTGGGTATGACGCTACAAGCTTAACACACCTGTATTTGGGGAGTTTCTCCCATTCTTCTCTGCAGATCCTCTCAAGCTCTGTCAGGTTGGATGGGGAGCGTTGCAGCACAGATATTTTCAGGTCTCTCCAGAGATGTTCGATCGGGTTCAAGTCCGGGCTCTGGCTGGGCCACTCAGGAACATTCAGAAACTTGCCAAGAAGCCACTCCTGCGTTGTCTTGGCTGTGTGCTTAGGGTCACTGTCCTGTTGGAAGGTGAACCTTCTCCCCAGTCTGAGGTACTGTGCGCTCTGGAGCAGGTTTTCATCAAGGATCTCTATACTTTGCTCTGTTCATCTTTCCCTCGATCTTGACTAGTCTCCCAGTCCCTGCCACTGAAAAACATCCCCACAGCATGATGCTGCCACCACCATGCTTCACTGTAGGGATGGTGCCAGGTTTCCTCCAGACGTGACGCTTGGCATTCATGCCAAAGAGTTCAATCTTGGTTTCATCAGACCAGAGATCTTGTTTCTCATGGTCTGAGAGTCTTTTAGGTGCCTTTTTGCAAACTCCAAGCGGGCTGTCATGTGCCTTTTACTGAGGAGTGACTTCCTTCTGGCCACTCTACCATAAAAAGGCCTGATTGGTGGAGTGCTGCAGAGATGGTTGTCCTTCTGGAAGGTTCTCCCATCTCCACAGAGGAACTCTAGAGCTCTGTCAGAGTGACCATCGGGTTCTTGGTCACCTCCCTGACCAAGGCCCTTCTCCCCCGATTGCTCAGTTTGGCCGGTCGGCCAGCTCTAGGAAGAGTCTTGGTGGTTCCAAACTTTTTCTATTTAAGAATGATGGAGGCCACTGTGTTCATGGGGATCTTCAATGCTGCAGACATTTTTTGGTACCCTTCCCCAGATCTGTGCCTCGACACAATCCTGTCTCTGAGCTCTACGGCCAATTCCTTCAACCTCATGGCTTGGTTTTTGCTCTGACATACACAATCATTTGAATTTACCACAGGTGGACTCCAATCAAGTTGTAGAAAAATCTCAAGGATGATCAATGGAAACAGGATACAACTGAGCTCAATTTCGAGCCTCATAGCAAAGGGTCTGAATACTTATGTAAAAACCTGTTTCCGCTTTGTCATTATTGGGTATTGTGTGTAGATTGATGAGGGAAAAAATTTATATAATCAATTTTAGAATAAGGCTGTAACGTAACAAAATGTGGAAAACGTCAAGGGTTCTGAATACTTTCCAAATGCACTGTGTATAAACGCAAAATGTAAAGTGTTAGTCCCATGTTTCATGAGCTGAAATAAAAGATTCCAGAAATTTGCCATACGCACAAAAAGTTTATTCCTCTTAAATGTTGTCCACAAATTTGTTTACATCTCTGTTAGTGAGCATTTCTCATTTCCCAAGATGATCCATCCACCTGACAGGTGTGGTATATCAAAAAGCTGATTAAACAGCATGGTTGTTACACAGGTGCACCTTGTGCTGGGGACAATAAAATGTGCCTTTTTGTCACACAACACAATGCCACAGATGTCTCAAGTTTTGAGAGAGTGTGCAATTGGCATCCTGACTGCAGGAATGTCCACCTGAGCTGTTGCCAGAGAATTGAATGTTCATTTCTCATCCATAAGCTGCCTCCAACGTTGTTTTAGAGAATTTGGCAGTACGTCCAACCGGCCTCACAACCGCAGACTACGTGTAACCACGCCACATCCGGCTTCTTCACCTGCAGGTTCGTCTGAGGGGAGTATTTCTGTCTGTAATAAAGCCCTTTTGTGGCTGGGCCTCGCTCCCCAGTGGGTGGGCCTGGCTCCCAAGTGGGTGGGCCATGGCTGCACCCCTGCCCAGTAATATGAAACCCATAGATTATGGCCTAATTTATTTATTTCAATTGAATGATTTCCTTATATGAACTGTAACTCAGTAAAATCTTTGAAATTGTTCCATGTTGCGTTTCTATGTTTGTTCAGTATATATACACACATACATTTTGTTTACTTGTATAGCGCTTTTCAAAGAATTTCACAGCGCATAAAAAGTAAAACAAACAAAACATTTTAATGATGGAGATTGAAAATCTCTCGGCTTGGGATGAAGTTGATATATAATATTAATATAATATATAATATTATGTAGCTATGTGTGTGTGTTTATGTTTGTTTATGTCTGTGTGTGTGTGTGTGTGTGTGTGTGCATGATGTGTGTGTGTGTACTTACATGTTGCCTCCACATACTCCATGGTGTAGGGCGGTTTTACCCTGATGGTCTACCATGCGTAGATCAGCTCCATGCTGCATCATCTGGTGCATCACGTATACATTACCATGCCTAGAGAGACAGATACATTACCATCAACAATATATTACTAGCAATTAATTAATAGTCCACTTCCATTTCTCACCCTTCTCCCTGAAGTGTCCACTCGGTCACTCCCCCTCAAGCATTTAAAAGCATTGGATTGATGTAAGTACAGGCTGGAGGGAGGTTCCACCATATTTTTACACCAGTCCATTCCATTTACATCCATGAGGGGGAGTGTACGAGTGCACACTTCAGAGAGAAGAAGAGAGGAGCATGTCTAGGAGAGAGTGGCATTTCTGCTCCAGGGGCCTAGGGCTGGCACAATTACCATATAACCAAAGGTTGTGGATGAAGACCGTCATGAAACTAATAGAACCGTCATAACCTTATTTTTTGTGTGGAATGAACAGCTCACTGTAGACAAGACGGCCGGGCATTCGTGCATTTGAGTCAGTTTCTGCTGTAACATGGACTCTTAACAACGTGATTAAACTTTGTTGCTCCTTGCTGAAACAAGCAAGGTGTTGTAGCACCTCCCTGCAGCAGCAGCACATATAGAAATAGAATGAATAGAACAGGCTTGGAACCTTTACCCAGGCAATTTGACTGATAAACTCATGGGTACACTCGCAATTGCTGCCTGGTATTGTGATGCAATAATTTCCATGGTAATGTAGAATGTTCATTCAAATGATGATGTGGCTCATGCAATGGATTTCTTTTTGTAATGTCAGTTGAGTTGAATCAACAAATCACAGCAAATATTGATGGGTAAATGTTCTGCTTTTACTTCCTGCTTTGCTCCTATGGGTACACTCGCAATGGCCACCAGTCCACCCATTATGCCATCATTGACTTGAATGGGAACACCCGTTCTATTCAGTCTATGAGAAAATGTGCGTCTTAATTAATTTTTTTGCTTTTTGAACGGTCATTACCGTGACCACGGTCATTTGGCTCGCCAATTACCGTCATCCAAAATTATATGTCCGTCACAGCCCTACAGGGGCCAACGCTCTTCCCCTAGTCCCTTTCCACAGATTTAATAGGACTGGATAGTGGGACCTATCCAGTCCAATCAGTGTTACTGACCTGCAGGCGAAATGGAAGGCCGTCATTCCTGCATCACAGGTCAGGTTGGGGTCAGCTCCATTGCTTAGCAACAGGTCAACCATGGCACGGTTACCATGGAGGGACGCAAAGTGGAGAGGACTAAAACCACCCCAACCTATACACACACAAACACATACAAATACACACATGACAAGTCTTATCAGCATGAAAAGCCTGTTTTGCTGTTAAAAGGAGACAGTCTTGACTGAAGAACTTTGGAGAAGACATTGAAAATCTCACAGTGAAATAAATGTTGGTGTTTAAAGATGCTTCAAGTACTATGACTGTAAATGATCATATTTATTCTATTACTTTGAGATAGTGTCACTCCCTAACCACCCAAAGAGCAGTAGGCCTACTATTGTCTCTTTACTACTGTCACTTTAGCTGCTGTGACTTCATGCCATGCTGTCGCAGGAGCTGTGAGTGTCTGAGAGGACAGACTGACCAACTACCCATCTCAGATCACTGATAAAACACAGACAGGTTAAGGTATCTCTCTCTCTCTCTCTCTGACAACATGACAAAATCACAACAGGAGACATTAGCAGTCAGCTTTCAGCAGTCATCTTGAAAAGCTAGTGTCGATGCATTCTGGAACTGTGATGGGACTGTGAAACTTGCCATTTTGCAAACTTGACATGATTAAAACTAGGCCTAATACGGTCAGTAGTGATAAGATAGTTAGATTGGTTATAACACATTGTATAAAGCAATATCTGCTGCCTGTACCAAAGCAATTTACTCATGCATATTTGACACAGCTAAGTGACTGGGTGAAAAATGCTAATGGTAAAGCTCTGACGACAGACATCTTTACTGACATGTTTTTATTCAGCATTTAACTACAGAAGGTAAGAACAAATTCCCTAGAATAATGGTATGATTAGCACCTTACACGGAAGTGACATTAGAAAAGGCTACGGTAGGGTAGGTAGGCTAGTGGAAAAATAGAATCCATTCCCCATATTCCCCAAATGTGTGTGCAGTAAATTACGTAGGCTAATGCATACTCCAAACAAGCACAGGCAAGCCTTACCTTTCTCTTTGAGGATAGATCGATCATGTTGAATGATATGTGCACAATGTTCAACATTCCCTCGTTGGATACAGTCAAAAATGTCCCCGTCGACCCTAGGCATTGGAAGCATGATGCGAATACCGTATACAATCGACCCCTGTGCCGCCTGACTATTACTCTGTCAATGTAAACAAAATATCCATACAGAGACGATACATTGTAACAACAATCACACGTTCATTTAACAGAGATCCTAGGCTACTAAGTAGATGGATATTTTATTGTGTGAAAAACGATTGCACTGCAGTAGGCTTGACAGACTCCGCCTAGGGAATCTGATTGGATAGAGACACATGTGACCCGGCTCTGCGTTTTCGTCATCTCAACATGGGGTCGTCACTAGTTACCACAGCCACAAGGTCATAAACACTGCCTATTCCTACAATTTATCTTCTTAAAATCTGATTTATAACCTAACCCTAACCACACTGCTAACTGTATGCATAACCCTAACCTTAAATTAAGACCAAAAAGCAAATTCTTGTTTTCATTTTCACTATAGCCAATTTTGCCTTTGTGGCTGTGGTAACTAGTGGAAATTTACAGTATGGACTCGCCGATTTATATCCGTGAAACTGAAAGACTCGAAATGAATGTTCTTCCATTGAATGCGGTATTTAAAAATAAATTAATGTTGCTGGCTGTGGCTGCTAAAGTTGGCAGTTGGATAAACGCCAAGAAGTTATTTTGTTAAACAGTAGCCTACCTCAAGGCACGGGACTTTTATAGCCTCAAGCAACGTTGAGTAACATTGTATCAATATTTTGTCAACATTCCGACGCTTTGGACTGGAGCGGCCTGAAAAAGAACACAAGAATACGGTGTCATTGAAATGATAAACTCCGAATAAAGACAGTAGGTTGGCAATGTTTAATAACCACTTGCTCAATTTGCTGTTAAGTGGAAAGTCAGTGGCTAAATTTAGTAGATAATATACGTTTCCTGGTTTAAAGCTCGCTTTTGTTGATACAATACGACCAAAGGTTAGGAACTTATCGGTTGATTGACACTTCAGGCAATCAAACAGAATGCATTTATTATGGTCAACAGACCTATACATGACTTGCCTATCTCTTTAAAATCCTGAACACGTTTAAAACTGAAAGACATAGTTTATGCGAATTTAACTGCCCAGTTTGAATTACAGATATATAAAGTATATTTAAGCAATAAGGCAGGAGGGGGTGTGGTATATGGCCAATATACCATGGCTAATGGCTGTGCTTAGGGATGATGCATCACCATATACAACAAACCCCAGAGGTGCCTTATTGCTATTATAAACTGGTTACCAACATAATTAGAGCAGTAAAAATAAATGTTTTGTCATGAAAGGTGGTATATCAGATATACCACGGCTGTCAGCCAATCAGCATTCAGGGCTCGAACCTCCCAGTTTATAAAGGCCTATGCCTAATTACGCTATTTTACGATAGTCCTGGGTTGTAATTCTCATCAGTACCTGCGCACTTATATACTGAACAAAAATATAAACAAATCAAATGTGATGGTGCAGCTGTAGAACCGTTTGAGGATCTGAGGACCCATGCCAAATCTTTTCAGTCTCCTTAGAGGGAATATGTTTTGTCATGCCCTCTTCACGACTGTCTTGGTGTGCTTGGACCATGTTAGTTTATTGGTGATGTGGACACCAAGGAACTTGAAGCTCTCAACCTGCTTCACTACAGCCCTGTCGATGAGAATGATATTTTTCCTGTAGTCCACAATCATCTCCTTTGTCTTGATCACGTTGAGGGAGATGTTGTTGTCCTGGCACCACACGGCCAGGTCTCTGACCTCCTCCCTATAGGCTGTCTCGTCGTTGTCGGTGATCAGGCCTACCACTTTTGTGTCATCAGCAAACTTAATGATGGTGTTGGAGTCATGCCTGGCCATGCAGTCATGAGTGAAGAGGGAGTACAGGAGGGGACTGAGCACGCACCCCTGAGGGGCCCCCGTGTTGAGGATCAGCGTGGCGGATGTGTTGTTACCTACCCTTACCACCTGGGGGTGGCCCGTCCCAGGGTCCTTAGCTTAGTGATGAGCTTTGAGGGCACTATGGTGTTGAACGCTGAGCTGTAGTCAATGAATAGTATTCTCACATAGGTGTTCCTTTTGTCCAGGTGTGAAAGGGCAGTGTGGAGTGCAATAGAGATTGCATCATCTGTGGATCTGTTGGGGCAGTAGGCAAATTGGAGTGGATCTAGGGTTTCTGGGATAATGGTGTTGAAATGAGCCATGACCAGCCTTTCAAAGCACTTCATGGCTACAGATGTGAGTGCTACGGGTCGGTAGTCATTTATAATATAATATAATATGCCATTTAGCAGACGCTTTTATCCAAAGCGACTTACAGTCATGTGTGCATACATTTTTACGTATGGGTGGTCCCGGGGTTTGAACCCACTACCCTGGCGTTACAAGCGTCATGCTCTACCATATAGTCACTGTGGGGACGACATCATCGATGCACTTATTGATAAAGCCAGTGACTGATGTGGTGTACTCCTCAATGCCATCGGAAGAATCCCGGAACATATTCCAGTCTGTGCTAGCAAAACAGTCATGTAGCTTAGCGTCTGCATCATCTGACCACTTTTTTTTTTTACCGAGTCACTGGTGCTTCCTGCTTTAGTTTTTGCTTGTAAGCAGGAATCAGGAGGATAGAATTATGGTCAGATTTGCCAAATGGAGGGCGAGGGAGAGCTTTGTACGTGTCTCTTTGTGTGGAGTAAAGGTGGTCTAGAGTTTTTTTCCCCTCTGGTTGCACATTTAACATGCTGGTAGAAATGAGTTAAATCGGATGTAAGTGTCCCTGCATTAAAGTCCCCGGCCACTAGGACTAGGAGCACTAGGAGCACTGCCTCTGGATGAGCATTTTCCTGTTTGCTTATGGCCCTATACAGCTCATTGAGTGCGGTCTTAGTGGCAACAATTTCAACGATTTACTGAGTTACAGTTCATATAAGGAAATCAGTCAATTAAAATAAATTCATTAGGCCCTAATCTATGGATTTCACATGACTGGGCAGGGGCGCAGCCATGAGTGGGCCTGGGATGGCATAGATGAACCCGCAGGTGAAGAAGCCGGATTTGGAGGTCCCGGGCTGGCGTGGTTACACGTGGTCTGCGGTTGTGAGGCCAGTTGGACGTACTGCCAAATTCTCTTAAATGATGTTGGAGGCAGGTTATGGTAGAGAAATGAACATTAAATTCTCTGGCAACGGCTCTGGTGGACATTCCTGCAGACAGCATGCCAATTGCACGCTCCCTCAAAACATGAGACATCTATGACATTGTGTTGTTTGACAAAACTGCACATTTTAGAGTGGCCTATTATTGTCCCCAGCACAAGTTGCACCTGTTTAATGATCATGCTGTTTAATCAGCTTCTTGATATGCCACACCTGTCAAGTGGATGGATTATCTTGGCAAATGAGAAATGCTCACTAACAAGGATGTAAACAAATTTGTAAAAAAAGAAAATAAAAAAAAAAGAAGAGAGAAATAAGCTTTTTGTGCATATGGAACATTTCTGGGTCTTTTATTTCCCGTCATGAAACATGGGACCAACTCTTAACATGTTGTGTTTTATATTTTTGTTCAATATAGTTTACACACCACAAGATGGTGCTGTCTACAAGGACTAGTGGCAGGCTTCTCCATACACACAGCACTAGTATTACAAATGGATAGCGATTATGTGAGAGTTAAAGAGCGACTGCCCCTAAAAAACAACTAATCCCTTTGAAAATGGCCAATGTGGCATCGATATGAGTCAGAAACATTTATTATAGTGTCAAAATTGACTACAAAGTGTAAATAGAATAATTTTGGTCCTAATGTCAGTCTCGTCTATAATGGAGTTTGGAACCTGAGTGTGTCACAACTAGTAAATGAAGGTTGAGTTTAGATTACAATAATGCCAACAATTCATGCCCCCCTTTGCCAAGTTCCATGTGCAAATCGCCCCTACGCCCACAGCTTCCCTCGGGCTACGGTTCGACAATGAAGAGGTGGATTTGGCACATGCACACTTGCTTAAAGACAATACTTAGATTCTTTCCAGACAAGGGATGGGGTATTAAATTAATTGGAATGACTTTCGTTTTTAATTTAAAGATGTAGCTAATCGTATTATTATCTGTAGTAGAAGGCAATGGGTTAGAAGAAGCCTACATAACCAACCGAAAAAGTAAAATGCAACATCCATTTATGGCCAGCTATGTAAACTCTAACATTGATTTATCCTGAAATAGATTTCTTTCAATTGGAAAAATTAATTTGTGTCTTCTTCTAATGCCTCTTAATGTGCAACTCCACCACTTTTCAACCTAATGTTTATTATATCCAGCACAATACCGGTGTATACATACACTCAGTGGCCAGTTCATTATGTACACCCATCTAGTACCTCCAGAACAGCCTGAATTCTTTGGGGAATGGAAATGTTGCTCAATTGGTATCAAGGGACCTAACATGTGCCAGGAAAACATTCCCCACACCATTACACCCCCGTCACCAGCCTGTACCGTTAACACCGGGCAGGATGGGGCCATTGACTCATGCTGCTTACGCTAAATCCTGACTCTGCCATCAGCATGACACAACAGGAACCGGTATTCGTCGGAGCAGGCAACGTTGTCCAGTGTTAGTGATCACGTGCAAAGGGTGGCTATTTGAAGAATCTCAAATATAAAATATTTTGATTTGTTTAACACTTTTTTGTTTTCTACATGATTCCATATGTGTTATTTCATAGTTTTGATGTCTTCACTATTATTCTACAATGTAGAAAATAGTACAAATTAAGAAAAACCCTGGAATGAGTAGGTGTGTCCAAACATTTGACTGGTAATGTACGTGATGACATTATAAAAAATAAAAAAAATAAAACAAACAATGATTTTCAAACACAGAGTTGCAGTGATGTGGGGAGCAAGAAAATACCCTCCCTCTGGCTAGAAACTCTTTTTGAAAATAACAGTTTTCTTACTTTTAATCCTACACTGTGATGTCACAGAGAAGCATTTTTTTAGAACCTTTCTTATATTTTTAACCACAGATCAT